AAAAATCTCAAAAGCTCCGAAAACCTTAGAAAATCGCTCTGAAACCTTCACGATTTTCCTGTGTGTATCACCTTCGTCAGGCTTGCTCGCATTTGTAGCTATTAATGCTACAAATGCTGTACATTATATTGAAATTGAGTCCTCAGCTCCTGAGAGAAATTTTCCACTGCTCTTTTGGCGATCCAAGGAACGCTCAGAAAAACATGAACTTCATTTCTGTGCTTCATGCATAAGTTTCTGTAGGATCCCAACCGCCGTTTAAACACCACAAAACTTCGCATTCCGAACAAATTCCCCGGCAATTTGAAGCAATTTTCAAGGAAAACTTGTTTTGAAAGGAAGTTGTAATTGATAGGTGTAGAATTTGCGCTCAAAAATGCTTCCATATTTGTAAAATACGTCTCTACCCACCGCAGATTTCGACACGCGCTTGACCTTAGCAGTTACCACCGTGGAACGCTCGATATGTCAAACGAAAGTTAGGACGATCGACGACGCGAATGTCCGCACATGTAACGAAACTCTGCGGAAACAAAATGAAACAAAATCATCGCTCACCACCTGTATCTGTAGCAATAAACAGCTCTAGACAGCAGCAGTGAATAATGTAGGCCTTGCTAGCACCCACTCAAGGAAGCTCGTTAGTGATAGACAGGGGTAGACAGGAGACGCCATTCAATCGCCACGAAGAAGCACAAAATCACACCTCAAAGAATTCAAATTGCGCGAGAAACCATGGCTAGCTAGGAACAAAATCCTAGAAAACCTTGGCAACCGTTCAGCGCTCTGGAATGTTTGGGCCTTTCCTTTTAATACTGGAGAAAAAAGTTGAATAACCGGATTTTTCTTCAAAATAGGCCATTTTTCTGGCCCAGCACTCAGAATTCCTACAAAAAGTTGATTTGGTCATATTTATCCGCCTGTCACCCTATTGGTCAATATTTGCTCTCTCAATAAACATCGTAACATTGATTGAAATATATACATACATTCTAGAGGGAATGTGACACAAGCGTTTCTACGTTATTCTTCCAATCAGCTCAGGCAAGTTCAGTGTTATCATGGTTTTTTTCGTAAAGTGAGCATTCAATGCGAGTTCTCCTTGCTCGCCATTTCCGTCATCTGAACTTCTTTTGACACTGGTCGGAGTCCTTCTGAACTTAAAAATGGGGACAGCGCCTCCCAATTGAAGGCAAAGCTCGGGATTACTGCACGAAATGAAGCCCTTCCACGTGAATACGGAGTAGAACCTAAACGCCGTACATGTACTCACTTGGGACCACGATTTTACAAAGTTGAGGCGCTAAGGACCATATTTTTCGTCCACCACCATACACCCCGCCCACGAATCAATTCTATTTCGCTTCTCAGCTACTAGGAAGGAAAACTTTATTTCCATCCTTGCCGATGATTTTTTCCCGTTTTTATTAGTGGCGTCAAACTTTACATATCCACTGTCACTTACAAGTGCAATAACACATCACTTCGCTCTAAAACTTTGCCTTCAAACGCAGTGAACACGATGGCTGAACGGAGGGGCGGTTTCAATGAGGTCATTGGGGGTCACTGGGGAAAGAACCCTAAAGGGCCCCGCTCCCCAGCGTACTAACAAGATGGAAGATGTCTAGCCAATCATGACGTCCAGTGATATAATCAGAAAAGCTCCACTGTCCAGTCATCGTGTTCACTGGCTTCAACATCATAAAATTTACTCTGATATACTGAAATATGAGGCGTGTGTGGTGTAGCGGCAAGTGGCACGCTTGCCATGTGCGCGATCCGGAGATTGAATCCTGGGTCGTGCGTCGTCCCGGCTTTTTCGATTTGGAACAAACAATTACAAAGAAGTGTTGTTGCAAAATTCATGGGCGTCGGGTGGGATATTTCACCGAAAAACTGAGTTTACCACCGCCTAGCTCTGTTCTTATCGTCAGGTTTCAAAGCCAATGTTGGGCTAAACATCAAGCTACTATTCTTACTCGACCAACTTCGATACAGGGTAGAACACAAATATTTTGACAAGATTGAACTCTAGCAAATGCATTTACTGAACAGTGAGCAGATCTTCATGATAGGCCTTCGGAATCCGACTTTTTTATTCAATTTTTTCGGTTTCATGGTTTCACTGTCTTTATTTGGTGAATGCTCCCTCTGCTAAGAACGACCATCCGCATGGAAGAAATTAGGCTGTTACAGCTAGGAGCTGGATAACAGCTCAAAATGGTTTTTGTTGAAATGACAGCACAATTTGTCCGTATGTGTGATGTTTTTCATCTGCGGTTTCGTTATTATTACAGTCTACCTCTAAGAAATAGGGGCGGAAGTGGTGTAGTGACAAGTGGCGCGCTCACCACGTGAGCGGTCCGGGGATCAAATCCTGGGTCGTGAGTCGTCCAGGGCCAACCAAGCCTTCCACCCCTCCGGGGTCGAATAATTGGTACCAGA